GGGCGGGGGGGGGGGGGCCGGAGCCGTGCCAGGTGCAGGGTCTTGCACCTGGCAGGAGCACCTGGCACGGGCACCGTAACCAGACTGTGCCCCTTTAAGGACTCTGGGCCCGGGAGGGGGGCAGAAAACTTTCACTGGTTTGGCCCAGAATGGCCACCAGGGCACCCTGGGAAGGGCTAGCCTCCAACTAGTTCGAATTAAGTGGCTACATAGCCTTTAATTTGAACTACTTAATTTGAACTAGGCGTTACTCCTCGTAGAATTCGGTTTACCTAGTTCGAATTAAGTTCAAACTAGCGGTTTGTATGTATAGACAGCCCCTATTAAAGTTAATTTGAACTAACGGCTGTTGGTTCGAATTAACTTTGTAGTGTAGACATACCCTTAGAGTTCTTTGAAGGGGGGAACAAACATGCAAACAAGGGGGATCCAGTAGATATAGTATGCCTAGATTTCCAGAAAGTCTTTGACAAGTTTCCTCACCAAAGGCTCTTGTGTAAATTAGGTTGTCATGGCATAAGAGGGAAGATCCTTTCATGGACTGAGAACTGGTTAAAAGACAGGAAACAAAGGGTAGGAATAAATGGTAAATTTTCAGAATGGAGTGGGGTAACTAATGGTTTTCCCCAAGGGTCAGTCCTGGGACCAATCCTATTCAACTTATTCATAAATGATCTAGAGAAAGGGGTAAGCAGTCAGGTGGCAAAGTTTGTGGATGATACTAAGCTGTTCAAGATAATCAAGATGAAAACAGACTGTGAAGAACTTCAAAAAGATCTCACCAAACTGAATGATTGGGCAACAAAATGGCAAATGAAATTTAATGTGGATAAATGTAAAGTAATACACATTTGAGAAAATAACCCCAACTATACATACAATACGATGGGGGCTAATTTAGCTACAACTAATCAGGAAAGAGATCTTGTAGTTATCGTGGATAGTTCTCTGAAAACATCCACACAGTGTGCAGTGGTAGTCAAAAAAGCAAATAGCATGTTAGGAATTATTAAATAAGGGATAGAAAATAAGATGAAGAATATCTTACTGCCCCTATATAAAACTATGGTACACCCACATCTTGAATACTGCATACAGACGTGGTCTCCTCACCTCAAAAAGATAGTTTGGCATTAGAAAAGGTTCAGAAAAGAGCAACTGAAATGATTACAGGTTTGGAACGGGACCCATATGAGGAGAGGCTAAAGAGACTGGGACTTTTCTGTTTAGAAAAGAGGAGAATGAGGGGGGATATGATAGAGGTATATAAAATCATGAGAGTTGTGGAGCGGATGAATAAAGAAAGTTATTTACTTGTTCCCATAATATAAGAACTAGAGAACACCAAGTGTGCGTCTAGACTACAGGCTTCATTGACGAAGCCATGTAGATGAGTTTACTAGATATAGCAAACTGAAGCAGCGATTTAAATAATCGCCACTTCATTTACGTCAAAATGGCCACCCGTTGTGCCGATCAGCTGATTGTCAGCACAGCGCGGTAGTCTAGATGGGGATCAGCCGACCCCAGAACCCTTTGTTTTCAGATCCTTTATGCCTCGTGAAACCAGGAATGACCAGGAATGGACACATGAAATCCATATATAGTGCTTGTAAACTCATAAACCCAGCTCTCTATGTAAAGAGGCTGTTAAAGCATTCAGTGCAGTTTACCTATATTCTTCTATTTTTTACATTTTGTCTCCTCTTCAGTCAGAGGGACACGACATGAAAATGCTTTTAGCAATCCTGCCATATTCTAAGAGTTTGCCCTTTTCTCCTTGCTACAGAATAATAATTTATCAACTTCATGCAGCTTGATATTTACAGGTCACTAGTTCCTATTGTATTAAGTGATAAAATATCATGTGAGAGGCTTGCAAAAGAATTGGGGCAAAGAGTTTGATCGGAGGTGGCGAGCAGTGCTTTAGTGATTAGATAAACAAGTGAATTAATCTTGCTAATGAAGATATATTGTCTGGCCTTTGGTCTGCTACTAATATTAAAATAGTTGAAAACAAGCTCTTTCCTGTCATTGATAGCTGAGAATCATAAGATTGAGAAAAGGCAAGTACCAGGCAGGTTTCAATAAGACATGTGAAATGAGGAAAGATTTTCTCCCAGATACTAATATTTGTCCTTTAAGAACATCAGCTGTTTAACTAATGTACGGTAATTGAATCACAACAGCATAGCACATTCTTTCTAAGTTTATTTCAATAACACTTAATGTTTTACAGCCCAAACATCCTAGAGGGTAATAGAAAGATTGACAAGAAAAAGGGAAAATTAAAAAATATATATTATTGAACAGTGTTCTATTCCACTGCATCTTGTAAGCAAGACTTTATGGGGAAAAAAGTATTTGAGAAAACAGAATGCAAACAAGAAGTTTCTTGGGATTTGGCCACACAAAGAACATAATCAAAATGAAAGTGTCTTGCCTATCATATCAGAATGAGCCAGCAAGCACAAAAGACAGAACATAGGGTCAAATCACCTCTGGGGTGACTGCTGAAACCAGCAGTCACAGGGAGTAATTTGGCCCCAACTTACAGTATTGGATAGTATCCCCGTTTCTCCCAGGCAGGACCATGCATAGTTAGATAACAGTACGGCTCTTTACCTTGGCTGTGTCCAGACTCAGGGGTTTTTTCGAAAAAAGTAGCCTTTTTTTGAAAAAACATCACCTGCGTCTAGACTGCAGCTGCGTTCTTTCGAAATTAAATCGAAAGAACGCGGCTTTTCTTTTGACGGTGGTAAACCTCATTTCACGAGGAAGAACGCCTTTTTTCGAAAGTGCTCTTGAATGCCAACAGGGCTTTTTAGAAAGAGAGCATCCAGACTCACTCGCTGCTTTCTTTCGAAAAAGCGGCTCACCAAGCCCAGCAGCGTACCTTTTTCCACCATCTCCATCTAGAAGTTTAGAACTCAGGGGGAGGTAACTAATTAGTGCAGGCATGCTGTGCGGCTCCACTTATGGGGCAGGCATGTCTTAATTTCTTCCTGTGTGGCCACTCAGCCATGCACTTTACAAGGAACTTAGCTGCACAGACTCCAGCAGGTCCGTACTTCATGCTCACAGTTGTGGTTGCGACTCCAACCCTCTTTTGGGACCCATGAATCTCCCGACTAATCCCATCCCTGGAAAGGGTGTAATTGATTTCCTTCAATCTCTTATTTAATAAAAAAAAAAAACCTCATCCATTATGCAAATATACCACTTGTTGGTATGGACCCTCTTCTCTTATGGTTGTTGGGAGAAAATTGGACACTGGATCTTGAGACTTGCAGCTAAGTGCCCGAATCAAATTGTTTTTCAAGGGTCCAAGGCTTTCTGGAAATGGCCCTGCTTCTCCTCTTCCCCAAGACTGAAAATGTCACCTCTGCAACCCGAGACCCACAACAACAATTCTATGCCACATCTCTAGCCGGGAACTGACTGTCGAACAGGGCAGAAGCATGAGTGCAAATGTATTGCTGTGGTCAGACAAAGTAAAATATCTCCCATCTCAGTTGAGATTCTCACTGAGAAAGCAGAACAATTATCACTTTCAGAATGCAAAACAAATCCTGCAATAATCTCTGTAATTCATTGCCTCATGACAATTCTGAACATCACTACAGGTGTGTGCCTTCCCATTGGGATAAGTGCAAAATCCACTTCTATGTTCTGAGGATAGGACCTGACAAGAGACTTGGGCAGAGAGCCAACCATTGTATACTTCAAAACAAACCACTTTTCAAATGGGACATAACCTAAGTCACAAAGATGAACTATTAAGTCAGTCAGTGGCTGTTTGATAGGCCATTGGTTTATGTACCTTCAAGATGTGAATAATTTGCAGATCACTGCTTTCAGGCCTAGAGCAAATCTGAACGCTTATGGAACACTTTACTTGTTAATATTCCAACCATTGTATACTTCAAAACAAACCACTTTTCAAATGGGACATAACCTAAGTCACAAAGATGAACTATTAAGTCAGTCAGTGGCTGTTTGATAGGCCATTGGTTTATGTACCTTCAAGATGTGAATAATTTGCAGATCACTGCTTTCAGGCCTAGAGCAAATCTGAACGCTTATGGAACACTTTACTTGTTAATATTCTTAGAATCAATGTGACACTGCTTGTTAATGTAACATTGATTCTAAGAATATTACAGCCATAAAATTACAAGATGACCTTTTCCGAGCATTAATCTGTATTGCTTTCTTAAAAGTCCCCTGGATTTTAGGGCTGGGGACTGATAAATTATCCACAAAAAATATTTCAGGCTCAGTCAAAAGAAAAGCAAGATAAATGTATAAAAATATAAAGACTTACCATTCTTGTCAGCGCGTCTGAAAATCTAGAATTAAAAAAAAACATTTTTACTATTTGTGTGATCTGTTACATTTCTCTTTTTACTAAACTATTAGTATCAAGAGTATATCCAATCCCAACCCTAAAAGAATGGAATCAAGAGTTCTAGCTGGTCAAAACTCATTTCTGATGGTATTTTTATTTCATATTTTAGAATGTAGTTACTGTGAAAAAAATGTTATTTTCCCATTTAAATCTTGGGATGGTGGGAGGCATTTGCCAGAAAAAGGCCTCCCCTTCTTTGAGAAGAGAAGAGCCACAGACCCCAGAATTTAAGTGATTGCCAGGAAAAGAATTGCTGGTCTGACCGCACTGGAATTTTCATTTATTTGCAGAGTAAGTTGCATCTCAGGTGGTCATCATGCAGGCTTCTCTATGCTTTTAAACATTCATCCAACCTTGCTCAGAGGAAGTGCTTAAAATACCAGTAGCAGTCAGCTTCCAGGCTGCGCTATGACTCCTAAGTTTGCTAACACCTGTGAAGCTCCATTGGAGCTAACAGTGTGAAATGTTTGCAACATTCCTCTATCATATACAAGGCCTGAGAAAGAAAGTTCTTTCCATGCTAATCACTTTTCTCTCTGATGGAATTGTCAACAAAAATGTATGCAAAAATAGTATTGATATTGAATTATAGATATTTATCTACAAGGAATGAATGGAAACCACCCATTCAATGAAGAACTATTAGGGGACATCAAGCAGTGAGAACTTTCAGTCATTACTATCAGGGCAAAAGGTGAAAGGCTTCATACACATGGGCTACGTCTACATTGGCAAGATTTTGCGCAAATACTCTTTAACACAAGAGTTTTTGCGTTAGAGTATTTGCGCAAGAGAGCGTCTACACTGGCATGTGCCTTTGCACAAGAGATGTGCTTTTGCACAAGATCATCTGTGCTAGTGTAGACACTCTCTTGCGCAAGAAAGCTCCGATGGCCATTTTAGCCATCGGGCTTTCTTGTGCAAGAAATTCATGTTGCCTGTCTACACTGGCCTCTTGAGCAAGAACAGTTGCGCAAGAGGGCTTATTCCTGAGTGGGAGCATCATACTTCTTGCACAAGAAGCACTGATTTCACACATTAGAACGTCAGTGTTCTTGCGCAAGAACTCCCCGCCAGTGTAGACAGGCAGCATGTTTTTGCGCAAAAGCGGCCACTTTGGCGCAAGATCGCGCCAATGTAGACACAGCCATGCAGTATTTTGACTTAAGTCATCCCACCAATCTCTTTGATTATGAAGTGTTTGCTCGAAAAAGGAAATGAAAATATGATAACTCTCACTTCAAACTCACTGGTGCTGACCCTCAGTCTCCACCCACCAGATTCCATCTGACTCCCCACTAAAAGAGTCAATCCACTTTTTTGCCACAAAGGCCTTAGCATTTCAGCAGGGGAGGGGAACAGGATTGGAATCCCTTTGTGAGTACTGGTGTTAGTTGTTAAGCATCAACTGCACATTTTGCTTTGGATCAAGGAGAGAAGATATAATGCTTGTGCCAAGGAGGTGGCCATCATGGCACAGCAATAATAACAAGGAACTCATATGAAGATTGTCTTCATAGGTAACTCAAACAAATAACTGGAAGCACAGGCTTTTCCATATATTGTTGCAAAATTCACATATTCCGTATGAAAAGGGAAATCATCATCATCATCTCCTCTTTAAGCCTGAGCTCGTTACTTTGGACCAGAAAGGAGAACTTTGCTAAACAACAGAAGGATTTTGTTGTGGAGGGAGTAACAGCTGTAGCAGTTAACTCGTGGCAGTCATAAAATGAATTCTTACTTTCTGAGTCATAAATTCATTAAAAAAAAAGAAAAAAAAAAGGAGAAAGTGCTGCATGAAAGGAGGAATGCAGGAGGCAAATAGAACAGCACAATGTGGGTATGTCTACACCGCCACCCTAGTTTGAACTACAGTGGCAGTGTAGACATACCCTGTGTTACTTAAATTAACACTATTTAATTAACATTAAATCAATGTTCTACCTAGATATCTCCTATCCTTTGCTAGAGAAAGCTCAAAATGGACACTGAACAAAAACAATGACTCAATATTTTATAATATTAAGAATGGACACCCCACTTCTAATACAGTAAGCTCCACATTACCAAAATAAAACCACTCTCAAAATTCAAGCCTTGGAGAGAAGGCAACAGAGATTGGCCCACTAGCAGTTTCTACATCCAGGCCCTGCAGGATTTGTCTTGTGTAACCAGTATCAGCTGGACCCAGTGGGCTTAATTCAGCCTCAGTTTAAATAATTTTTGAGGTTCAGCCAGTGGGATGAACATAAAACTCCTAGGAGAGTATGCACACACACAGACATTTACCAAGAGAAGGTCAATGTGTATGCATTAACAAAGGACCCAACTCTTCATTCACACACAGCACAAATCCAAACTCAAGCTGTAAAGAGGTTCATAAGTTCAATTAGCTTCCCGTCCACCTCTCTTGCTGTTCCTGTTTAATAAAGGGTTAGGGGGGGAAAACCCCAATCAAATACTGAGAAGGACACTTCTTGCAATCACCTCCACCTGGCCACACAGGGAATACTCGAACCATTCAAGTAGGCCTGTTCATGAGAGTTAACTATCCACTTTTGCAACCCCAACAAGATTTAATTACCATTTGAATAGGCATATGGGCAGCATTACAGTTTTACTTTTGCATCCCTTCCTAAAGGGAGCTTGTGGCAAGTGGGGTTGCTCCATAGCCCTCCTATGAAACCCCACAAGGTACTGTCCGGTGCTCTCTGCCTTCCCCTAGCCTGTTTGGCACATGGAGGTCTTGCCATAAGTTTGGCATCAGTCTCTAAACAGTTAGATTTTTTTTTTAAATCTGAATTTGGATGTCTATACCTTTAAATAAAGAATGTAAACCTCAAAGGTAAGTGCTTAGCTGCCGTGCTGAGAGATAGGCCCTGGCCTGGCCCATGGGTTCTGACCTAGCACTGAGAAGTTCCTCTCCTGTCCTAGTGATACCTCACATTACCCCTAAGAAGGAGACAAGACTTCTTAACTGGCCTGCTGGCTCCCAATTGGTCAGTGTCTCCACCCAGCCCATCTTAGCCACTGGCATACTCATGTTGGCAGCGTGTTCAAAAGTGGGTTTTTCCATCAGCAGGGTTTGTCACGGTGCTGTGGCCTTCAGCATAGGGGTGCCAGGTGTCCAGTTTTCAACTGGAACATCTGGCCAAAAAGGCACCTTGGCAGCTCTACTTATTAAAAGATCAGCTCTCTACTGGGCTCCATGCAGCCTCATCCTGGAGATCACACCCCCAGCCAGAGCCCTCATCTCCCCCTGCACCCTTGCTTCAGTCAAGCGAAAATGAGCAAGTGAGGGAGAGCAAGCAACAGAGGCAAGGGGGATGGAATGAGCAGAGTTGAGGCCTTGCGGGCGGGGCATGACAAGGGTGTTCAGTTCTGTGTGATTAGAAAGTTGGTAGCCCTGCTCCAGAGGAGGCCAGAGGCCTGACAGATCACATCACTGGGCCTTCGGAACAGTAGCATCACAGGGCCCTCTGTTAAAACGTCATCAGTTCTGCCAGTCATGGGCAGGGTGCACTGGGGACAGGGCTGACGCTGAGTTTCTGTGTAAATGGACCTAGACAGCAATTGATCCCTTAGAAATGGTCCCATGGAAGGGGTAAACCCTACACCCAATGGAGTGACTTAAGGAGACATCTCCACAATGAGCAGGTCAGAGAAGTCCTCCATTCCAGGCCCCATTCTTGTGGGTTTCCTGTGATCCCATTGACTTCAGGTTTTCAGAACTGGGCCATATGTTGGGCAGCCTGCAAAGGGCATACCTATCCAATCATTTTAGTGGGTAACATTGCTTTGCATGTATCTGGGTTATAGTATGGAGCTGCACAATAAACAATAGAAGACTAAATCAAGAGATTAGCCCCATTTAATGTCTTCTGTTTGACTAGGACAGGTTAATCCACAGGGCCATTGGAAACAGCCCTCTAAACAATACCCACTGCATGTTGCCTCTGGTATGCAATGTTTTTCTTTTCCTCTTTTCTTCTTGCTCACACAGGATCAGCAGATGTTACTTTTTTGTTTTAAATGCTGATTTATTTCCTTCCTTCCTTCCAATTATCAAACACGCTATATAAATTGTAATGAAGAAGTAGTAATGTATGAGGTATTCTTTTCTTAAAAGCGTGATGGTCAGATAGGGAAAATAAACAGTAGTAAGAAATGTAGCTGTTTAACAATGTTTTAGGACAAGTAAAGAACTGTTTGATGGTTTGGTTCTCATCTCATTGAAATCCAAAGAAGAAAAGATTTTCCTCCAAATTTATTGCCCTGAGAAATATATTATTGAGAGTATAGTCTAGGGGGAAAAGTCCCATATAGAAGACCAGACTTTCTCAAACATAAACAATATGTTCAAGGACGGATTAAGTGCAAAACATGACCCAGCTCAGGTGTACAGTGGAACGAGGTGTACAGCTAGTTCGGATTAGAAGCCTAATCCGAACTAGCTAGTTCGTGCCGCATGTAGCCACGCGGCACGGACTCCGAACTAGCCGGCATTTAAAAATGGCGCCGGCCGGCTTCATGCAAATGAAGCCCAGGAAATTCAAATCCCGGGCTTCATTTGCAACTGTGGATGACTACATTACCCCCGCTAGTTCGAACTAGCGGGGTAGTGTAGACATACCCTAACATCCAGTTAATACACAATCCTCCACTGCTCACAACAAAATTCACATCAGTTCAATAGCCTCGATTAAAGAATAAGGACTATGGATTCCGGTGGCATGCAATGAGAATGCCTGTGAGTTAATGATATTAGAGGTGGGGAAGGGTAGATGTCTGTGAGTTAATAGTATTAGAGGTGATAATTGGGGAAGCTATCTTTGAATGGGTAAGATAGCTGGGGTCTTTGTTCAGCCCCCTGCGGAGAGTGTCGAATTTTAGCATGAATGCCAGTTCAGAGGATTCCCTTTCAAGTGCAGATTTGAA